AAAAAAAAAAAAAAAGAGAAATTAATTTAAGAGCTATAAAAACGACCTCATAACCATAAAAAAAAAGATGGCAGTCAAAAACGAACTGAAAACGGCCATCTAAAAACTATTTTTTTTTTGCCCATCATCACTGAAAATCGTAGTCAAAACATCAATGATGATGATGACGACGATGACGACGACGACGACGACGACGACTACAAAATTGCAGAGATTGATTGAAATAACAAAATAAGAAGAAACAAAAACAAAGTTTTATTTTTCCCTCAAATTTAAACCTCTTTTTTTTAGTTGTCTAATTTAACTTGTAATCAGTATAATCAGACAAGATATTTGCTATTGTTTTTGTTGTTGTCGTTGTCGTTGTCGTCGTCGTACTTTTTTGTTTCTTCAAACAACTTCTTCATTTTTTTTTTTTATTATTTTCCCAAAAACCAACCTTTTTTTTTTGTCCCATCAAATTGTTTTTTCTTTGTTCTTATTTTGTTCAGCTAAATTTTATTGCTAGGATGAAGTGAAGATATAAACATTGAACAAAAAAAAAAACAGCAAAAATGTACAGAGTATTTTTGTATGTGTATCAACAAAAAAAACAATTCAAAAGAGATATCTTCATCATCAGTAACATTGAACATTCATTGAAATTCTTCTTCCCCCCTCCCCCCCCTTCTTTTTTCTCCTTTTTTTTTTTCGCTCATATAATACACACCATAATACAGTGAGTATAAAAAAAAATATATATATAAAGATAAATTTTTAAAAGCTCAGCACTAATATAACGATATATTGTAAAAAAGTTGACTCTAACAAAACAACACTGACAACAGCAGCAGCAAAAAAAAAAAAACAACAACAAACCTGTATTATTTATTTAATATCCTTTCAGAATAAAAATAAAATTCAAAATAATTTTTGAAAAGTAGGAAAAAAAAAAACTTATTGCAACTTTTCCATTCCGCTTTTTCAGCTATTTATTTTATGCTGAATTATCCATTTTTTGCTCTTTTGGTTGTTACTGATATTTCAATGTTTTAATACGCAACCAACAGTTTTTCCCCTTACATAAGAAATTGCTACAGTTTCTTCAGTTTCTCCAAAATTTTTTTTTGCTAATTATATTTAAATAACTTTCTTTGAAAGATAAAATTTAAAAAATATATATATGTATATATAAATATTTCGACTTTTCTGTTGTTTTTTTTCTTTTGTTTTCATTCAGCAACTTAAACCAGTAAGTTGAGTTGAATTCTTTTAGACCAAAGCCAACATTAGGATTGAAGCAGTAAATACTGTCGAATAAATTTTGATTTATATTTCTTCACTGCTTTTTTCCTCCCACCCTTATCCTCATCCCTGACTACAGTAAGAAAGCCAAAAAAAAAAATTGTCAATATTATTATTAGCAAATTACATGAAAGATTTGGTTGAGCAAAACAACAACAAAAACAACCAAAAAAACAACCAAAAAAAAAA